AGAAGTTATTATAACAATCACCTAGTATGTGAATATCTTGATAAGTTTGTTTCCTAGATTGCTAACCGTCTTCAGTTTGATTGGCTATGGAAGATATGTGGATGGGTAGTAAAGAATACCATGAAATTCTTTTAACAACTGACTTACAGATATTGGTATGTTATAGAAATCGCTGTAAGGAGGCAAAGCTTGTCAACTAGGCCACCTTTGTTGCTTTGCCGACCCCGTATTGTCACCCACTGGTAACTTGTTATTAAATAAACCAGCCGCAGCGATGCGATGTGCCTATATGTTGATCTTGCGCCGATCTTTTGCGTGATATAGACAACACACAACACAACATCTATGGCTCAGAATTAAGTTTCGAGGCAAAGATTCCAATCCGCAAGCCCGGGTAAAGAGCTGTACTGTTGAAATCTTACTTTAAAAATGGACGACAACGTTTCAACCGTACAACAACATAGCAGTCTCTCAAATGCATATAGAACAAAAGATGGTGCTACAAGTTCCTATAAGAAATGCAGCACGGAGCTCCTTTCAAAGATGCCACTGGCGAGGATGATACGGAAAATAGTCTTATTTAAACCTTTGAACAGCAAGGATAATATAATGAAGTTTTGACCAAATAGTAACCAACTGGAGCGCCATAGAAAACAAGATCTACAGTATATTCAGATAAGAGATAGACCGGACATAAACAAGACCACGTGATCATCGAACGCTGTAACATTCGGCAGGGACGTATTAAGAGTCACGCAGTACATATTTTAGATAGTAGATGCTGCTTTGCGTAACTTTGTAGTAAATTAGCTCAATTCGATGTGTATACGATTGGTGATGGATATAGGATCATGTGGGGGTGGAGTAAGAAATATATAATGATGTAAATATACATAAGGGTTTCAAAATTTTCGCTTCGATTTCTAGCTTCGGATGCCGCCTGATGTTTGGTGAAATACAGTCGAATATAGTCTCAAAATGGCGTTTAAATTAGCCTAAATTAAAAATAATCGTATATCTCTTAAAATTGCTTTTAGAATATTGATTAGTATATTTTTTAATTTCTAGGTAAATATGTAACCAAATTAAAACGTTCAAAACGTTCAATGGTTGAACATTGTCAGAAAGTAGATTCTTGAATAGGTTTTGCCAAAATGGGTTCAAAAATGTCAATAATTAATTAAAAAATACAGTAGCTTTATAATTACTTATAACTTACCGAATTTGATGAACGACATCTTTTATTGGAAAGATGAGCTTGATGAGCTTTCATCATCGCTACTGCCTGAAGCACCAACGTCAATAATGAATGGCTCGACTTGTTTCTCTAAAATATTGTCCAGTTCCCACATTCTCTTTTCAACTATGTCTTTCACCTGCTTAATACAGTTTTCCCATTTTTGCGCTGTTATTAATTCTAGTGCTTCTTTGAAAAGTCCTTTGAGGTCACAAAATTTAAAGGTTGTATTGTGCTTAGCTATATAATTTTTAACCTCTGCCCATATGAGCTAAATGGGATTGAGCTCGCAATGGTATGGAGGTAAACGGAGCACAGTTTTATTTTGACTTGCTGCCATTTCGTCAATGGCGTATTTTTGATATTCCGCCTTGTGGTCCTTGACAATTCTTAATAATTGTACTTTCAGCATTGCTTCTTCAAAGTTGATATTTTTCGAGCGGAGCCAATTTTGAACATCAACTTTCCTTGAAGCCGTTGTTGGGACCTTCTCCATTCTTCGAGAATGATAAGGCGCATTATCCAACACAATTACTGCGTTTTCCTCTAAGTTCGGTAAAATTTTTGAAAACCACAGTTCAAACGATTCGCCATTCATTTCCTCGTGGTAATCTCCAGTTTTCTTAGACTCAAAGCACCACAGACCGTCAACAACAAATCCATCCTCACTGCCAATATGGCAGATAATGAGCCTTTTCCCTTTACCTGGAAATCGAAGTACTAACTGGTGTAGATTTACTTCAATAAGCGAACCTTTTTCAAATGTTTTCATCACATTCAGCGAAAAAACATTGAGACATGAGTATCAGATTGCTATAATTGGGATTATTTAGTCATATTGAAAGAAAGAATATTGAACGTCGTATGATTACTCAGCGCTTCACAATTTAATTTAAAGTTATAAACCTTTAAAAAATGAATGATCAGGAACCTGAAATATGCGCAAATATTAATATTAACAAATTATAACTTTATAAAGCTTAAAGTATGAATTAAAATGATTAGAAATATTAGGAACGGTAGGGTATTGTCGGGAACAGTGGCTCACTTTTTTTCAGTTGACTCTAATATTCATCGAGTCTTCACCAAATGGCTTGAAACTCGGCCAATGTGGGCAGAGGTTATGAAATTTTTATCCTGTGCCATCGAAATGTCCACAAAGGGTGCCAAAAAACAACCAATAATGATTTTGTAAAAAATTAGAAATGAGCCACTGTGCACAGGTAGGGTGCTACAGTGACACACCCCAGTGGTCCACAGTGGTTCTAACAGTACACAGAGACTCAAGACAAACCGAGTTAATCAAAAGTACGGGAATGCTGTTGAAATCTTTATTTCTGAGTCACATTTGAATATCTCGGAAAAAACACTGATCAAAATAAACTTATTCCCATTACTATATTAAAAAACAAAATGAGCGCATCGTAGCTGTTAACATTGAAATAATCAAAATCACACATACATCAGACTCCTATTTGCCTTACAAAACACTGAAGAACTTCTACTTTAATAAGTCTCATCGTAAGCATAAATAATAACAATAATAATAATCAGCAAGCAAATAAAATTAAGTCTTCTACTTAACTTACAAATGTACACATTACTTTGTAAGTATTCTTTTGTACTTATAATGTTAAAAAAAACTTTTATTACAATCAGAGACAAAAACCAATCTTACTCCTTAAGCTCATCGAATGATGAAAGTTTGTAGAACAAGTCAAAAATAAAAATTAATAACTCCATAACCCTTATACCTCTTAGCATATCCGAAGTTGGGATAAATCTAGTCCAAAATTATAGTACGGCCTAGAAGAAGTGCCAACAATTGAAGGCTTTGGCAGAAGTAATTTCAAATCACTTTCTTTTATAACAGAAAGGTCAGGCTTATCAGGCATGTGAAATTTGCTAGTACCAGGCGTACGCCTCAGAAATGATATGTAGAATTCATTATTCTCATTTCTACCTTCTATCACCTTTCCAACGTAAAGCGATGTAAGTTTTTTTCTTGTAAATTGTACAATCACATATTCGCCCTCTAGTGGCGCACGAGTTAGAGATTTGGTTAGGTGCCTTTCAGTTATAATCACTGATTCTTCGTCAGAGTTTTCGTCTTCATCTTCTGCTGCCCAGTCTGTATCATCATCAGATTCAGCATATTCCACTGTTTCCTTCTCTTGATCATTATCTTCTTCATCACTTTGTAATACTTTTCGAGTGACTTTTCCCTTCTTATTAGTGTTTTTACTTTTAGCAGCTATTTTTTCTTGTTCTAGACGAACTTTTTCCGGTGTGTCAGTAAGAATCATGCTACGGCCTGGTTTCCTTCGCTTGCGGGTAGTTGTTCTAGGTCCAGCCTTTATTGGGTCTCTAAACTCAAACGGAGATGTAAAAGTATTCTCAGCTGATTGAGAAATGGATGGTGTCAAAGCAACGTCTTGTGTCGGGGTAATTATATATGGCTTGGGTCTAAGTTTGTTCGAAGAAATTGCTGATATGAGCACTTCAGGAGCTAATATTTTTAATGACTGGAGTCCTGATGGAACTGAAACGGTATTGGATACTTTTGTTTTTGTCAAAATTGAATCTTCATCGGACAGGTTCTTCGTTTCCACTTCTTTAGAAATGGATTGATGGTTGATAGACACAACAGTGGTTTCAATTTGACTTGGTTGTGTCGTCGAAGTACCCAACGTTGGTGAGCATGGTTTTTCTGATGTTGCACAAGTCTGTGAAATAGAATGCTCCGATGAGTGCGCAGTAGTGGTCTCTTCCGGTGCTCCCAACTCGATGACATTCATTGAATTGATGTTTACGTTTATGAGCCCTTCTTCACGTGGCAAACAGTCTGAACAGGGACCTGGACGATCTGTTACTGTACTTGGCAGAAAGTCCTCGTCTGTAAAAAGGTTTCTGTCGAATGGGTAAATACCACATTTTGCAAAAGCCCTGGTAATGTTTGTTGGGGTCATTGCTTTAAGAAAGGCTGCCCCAATGATTTCACCTAAGTCATATATGGTAACATTCTTTCCAGGATGTGTCATAAGCCAGGAATCGATGCCAGCATTATAATATACTTTGAACGCGCTAAATACTCCCACGTCAAGTGGTTGTAATTTCCTCGAAGTGTGGGGATGAATAGTGAGGAGATTGACTCCACAATCTTTTGCCAACTGTATGGCTTCAATGCTCAAATGTGACTCGTGGTTATCCATTACCAACATACTAGGATTTTCTTTGCAAGAGTTCGTATGCTTGATAAAATGTTTCATTACTTCTGTGAAACTATCCGCGTTCATCCATCCACTAGGCGTTGCTAAGCCGAGTGTTCCTGCAGGTGTGTTTTTGATCATATGATCTTTGAATTTTTTCCTAGGAAATATCATAACTGGTGGCAAAGCGTTGCCGCTGGCACTTACAATGCAGCATGTGGTTACCAAAGTTCCTCTCTCACCACTTGTGACTTTTCCAATGCATTTTCTGCCTAATGGTGCTATTACTTTTTGAGGCTTTTGCACTGTTGTCGTTGATGTTTCATCCAGATTAAATATACCGGTACCATTTGCAAAAGCCGAGTTTCTCTTGATCAGATCTTCTAAATTATTGTAAAAATTATTGACGTTGTTTCGGTTGAAGGCTGTAGCTCTTGCTAGGCTACAAGGTTCTGGTCTCCTGGAAGAAAACCTGTTCCTACGTTTGAACAAAGTTAACCAGTCCTTACCCGCCATTTCATTGTCTGTCCAAGATTTAGGCATCTTTATATTATTTAGCTTAGCACATTGATACGCCACTTGACGACATTCTCTTCAGTTAATCCGTAAAACAGAAGAGCGCAATGCGAAAAATATTCCTTCAACTTCTCTTCTTGGGATGCGGTAAAGATCTGGTTCACAGAATAATTCGGCTCGAATCGCTCCTCATCGAGATTTTCGGAACCAGCAGTTTTCCAATAATACCTCTTCAGGGTAGTAAATGGCACACCACAACTCGTAGCTGCTTTTCTGATAGACATACCCTGCCTTATTAATAGTACCCCAGCTTTAACGTCTGCAGCGGAGCTGTTGCCAATTTTTCTCATTGCCCGTTTCTTGCGAGGCATTCTGAAACAAATATTCAAGTAAGCGGTACACAATGGTTCACTAATAGTACACAGTGGCTCGTGAACCACTGTGTACTTCCACGTGCTGAGCCACTGTCGACCGTGACGCCATTTTGAAATATATGTCTTCTGTGCCATATTCACGTTGCACTGGCTGTTCTAAGCAAAGTTAAAATTATCTTGCTTCTACTTACTTTACTACAAAATATAAATAAATAATAAACTACAGCAATTAAGCTAGAATTTTAAAGTCAAACTTACCTGGAAATGTAATTTTGGGTACCTGAAAACCAACACAAAGGCGAGACGCGTGCTATCAGTGCTTTAGTTGCTGACCGACTGGTTCATGCGCATTTGTGTCGTAAACACTTGATGTAGATGACTGCGACAGATAGATAGTCTTTCTCGTTTTGGAGATATTGAATGGAGCCACTGTACCCGACTGAGCCACTGTTCCCGACAATACCCTACACAATATAAAACTTAGTAACTTTTTTTAAGTTTATAATATTCGACATATTTTAAGATTGTATTAAAAAATTATTGAAATATCGGAAACACATAAAAACATGGCTTAAAAAAGTTCTAACAAATGAAAATGACAATAAAACATCCACGCATTTTATCGAAAGTTATAAAAGTTTTGTTACTTGTAATATGTTTTATCTGCCCCCTGGAATTAATGTTTAGAACCTTGTTCCCAAGGTTTGAAAAACATCCGATTGTTGTCTATTACTCGTATTTACCTGCTGGATTTTTTAATCCGGTGGACAGTCCATCTAGAAAGGCCCTCCTGGATGAAGTTACAGAATCATCAACCCATACTTTACTTGTAGTGTGTCCTGCGTTTACCCACGTTTCATCAAGGTAATAAATCTTCCTGTTTTGATTTCTATATTTCCCAATTTTTGTTAAATAATCCCTCCTCCATAGCACAATTTCTTCTCTATCCAGTAGTAAACTATTACGACCCCGTTTTTTCCATTTGAAATTTAAATGCTTCAGTAACGCATGGAAAGTTGATCGTTTGAAATTTGGCAACGTTGTATCTCCATTTACCTCCTGCAGTACTTTATCTATAGTAGGTATTTCATTCCTAAAGAAGAATTCATGCACTTTCCTCCTAATCGCATGCTTATCAGCTTCATCCAATGATTTAATAATACTTTTGCGATGTTTACTGGTCATTGGCTCAGAAAAGGTGTGATTTTTTTTGTATTGTCTTAACACATTAAACACTGATGCGCGACACACCCCAACTTTGTGAGAAACCTTCACAACAATTTCTTTGATGGTTGATGCCTCGTTCTCCTCGCGCTCGATCTTATATATATTCAAAATGACCTCTTTCATTTCTGCACTCAGGTGTCTTTTTTTAGAGCGCTTCCTAGGTGGACTACAGGAGTTTACAACTTCATCGGCAGTATCTGTACTACTGGGCATTTTACGCAAGCAGTTGATAACAATAACAATCAATAACAAGGTATAGCAATAACAACGACAAACTCAACAACTTAATAAGATAACAAACGAAAACGTCCAAAGAAATATCAAATTGCAATGATGCACACGACATACGTAACACGTCTGAACCTGAATGTGACTCTGCCTTGATACGACTGCTCTGCCGCTCGGCATAGGCATTTAATTGCGAATTGACCAATGAGGGCTCCTGTTTTACGTCGAGACGGCGGCGTTAGCGTGAAAATCACCCGAACCTTTTGTTTACATCCGGTCTATCTCTTATCTGAATATACTGTAGCTTCAAAGTAGTATTGCCAATTTTTTACACAATTTGTAATAATGACTTCTTGATGTCGTTATTGGAGAGCTTTTCCTTTGCGCTGACGAGAAATTTGTCGGTCTGTACGCTAACTCTTAGTCCCGATAACCTAAAAGGTAGTGGGGAGAACATTTTAGGGGAAAAAGAATTGAGTAGGAGTTGTAGGGTATTTGAGGCTTTATCGCAATTTTTGATATAGCATTTTAATATACTCATAACTTGGAAAATACTGTCGCGTGCCTATCGGTCTCACTTACCGTACGCCACGGTTTTGTAAGTACTGTATCTTTAGTAGCGGATCCAATGAACGCATGTCTCGGCATCTGGTCTTATTTGTCTGCTTACTGCTCTTCGTCAGTGTCCTAGCTTGACTGGCGCTGGTGTAATAGATTTATTTATTTCGGGCGACCTTAGTAACACAACTTGATTTCAGGATGAATAACTTGATTCTGTCTAAAAATGTATATTGATAGGTTTTGCAAGGTACCTGTGTACCGGTGCATTATATTACTTGCAATACCTAACAAGTTTCATATAACAATATATTATGCAGTATGATATTACAATACTACATTGGGCGCTGTGTCCCCTGCCACCTTTAAAGCAGCGGGCTTTTAGTACTGGGGAGTGAGTGGGACGGTACTACGGATAAAGGCAGCGAAGAAACGTCTATGGACTAACTGTATGGAACTATTTGACAAACTTGATCCGGTTAATCTCTGTTATACAAGTTCGTAACTAACGTTTCTCTCAGAGGGTCTAACTTGAACATGCTGCTTTCCTGTTTCGTGCTTATTTGGCATGGTCTAGACTTGGTCTCTGGGATAACGAACAAAAACCTAGTAACAATCCTCTATGCGGGATATAAGACAGCGCATTTCTATAGTGTCTAAATTGTGCTGAACATAACCTTTTACCGACTGATGACGGTCTGGCGTGAGAAGTACAGTCAACAAACTTGATGCCATTTTTTTAAATAGCTAACGAAAGTAATAAGCTGCCGCATGCCGCGAAAAGCTTCCACTGGATCGAAAAGGCGAATTCTCCGAAACCAAGCATATTATTTTCGATGCGTATTGTGAGAAGCATGCCGGGAAAACAGGCTCGGCTAGTATTGGCGAGCCCTTTGAAAGCATAGCAAAAACTCGATCATCCGAAATAACAAAGTTTAACACTGAAATGGAGACAGGAGCGCCGGTTGTTGGTGTTGATATGAGCATCGACCCAATTCTCGGAATCAAAACGAAATCAGTATGTTGGTGAAAATGTATGGAATTGGCGAATTCATGGGTTTTGTATATGAATGAGGGAATACTATTTTTAATAATGAGGCTCAAGTTATTTGATATGATCAGACTTAACGTTCCTGAAATTTCATCGAAGTAATTAAAAAAAATATATAAATATACGTATACGCCTGGTTTCCTGTTTGCAAGCTTACATTGTCTCTGGCGAAAAACTGTTTGATCGCAATAAAAGTACACATAATGTGAAAAAGCATTTATTTCTCTGAATTAAAAAAAAAAGATAATAGAAAAAAAGAAGCTTTGTGTATTCGAACTTCCGTCCGGTTGTTCTGCAATGAATAATCTTTCGCATTACGCTACGACGCCTCTTGGTTCACTGGACCTTTATAACACTATACTTGTCACTGACAAGCGGACGTTGGATGCATATCAAATCTATTTCAACAATTAGAATAATCTTAAAAACCATACAAGGTACAATGCTGAATCTTTAACGGCGCTCTCACAGTCAAGCAGAGTTTCTGAGGGGAATCGGGGGGGTGATAGGGAAAGGCTAGTAGGACGGCGTTGTGACAAGGCAAGCGCTCTACGTTAGAAAAGGATAGTAATACGCAGAGGTGTGCTGTTCGCGTGCCTGGTTGAATTTGCATATTGCACAGAGTCGGATTTGATTTGGATATTTACGATCTAGCGTACGACTGTTTCCCTATTTTGGCGCATAGTATACTCAGCCCTTATTACTCTTATTACCGTTATTGTATTGTTGTATTATCGTGTTGTTATTGTTGTGTTGTTATTGTTGTGCTGTTATTGTTGAGTTGAGAAAAGTAGGTACCAAAACAATTATGAATTTTAGCATTCATTTTGCCAATAAATTAGACTATACGTAGTTACTATTATAACTATATTTTATATGTTATTTTAGCTTAAAAATGACAGCAAGGTTTCGCATATGCATTCTCTAACAGAGACAGATGGCATGGATCTTCAAATTCAGGTGTGTATACCCTTTTTTTTTAGATTTGCACCAGAGGCTGATATCATTTTTGGCAATTCTGATTAAAAATGCAGTAAGTTTACTTCATGACGTCGATAATAGTATTGTAGAGCAGTTTAACTGAATCATAGCTAAATTCATTGGGGGTAAACGGATTAATTATTGCAAGAAGAGATCCTACCAAGGAAGATGTGCTGCAGCCGTAGTGAGCCACAATACACAGCGACCTGTTTGTGTGATCCAAAAGCGGCTACTCCCTAGTTTCAGTCCAACCTCTTTGATTGCTAAAGTTGAAGAAAGGAGAGCGCACAAAAATCTGAAAAGGAAGCTGAAACCAAGGAAAATTAAAATCAGAGATAGTGATACTAAAGAGAACGCATCCTATGGGGAATTCTGTGAGAAGCCTGACATGAGCAACGACGATAGAGGCTGCCAAGGTAGAATTCTTGAAAAAATTTGCAAAAACCGACTCCAAAATTTCCCAGATCGAGCAAGCCACAAAATCTCAGGATTGCAATTTGTGGCGTCTTCATCGAAGAATGAGGTTGACTGCGTCTCGGTTTGGTGAGGTTTGTAGAAGAAGAGATACAACAAGTTGCAGAGCTCTAGTAAACGCCATAATATACCCAACCGAATTCTTTAGCAATGCATGTGACTATGGAAAAAAGCATGAAAGCGTGGCAAAATCAGAAATAGAGAAATCATATTCGCAATCAGAAGTACAATCTTGCGGGTTGTTTATTGATAGGACCCATCCATTTCTGGCAGCATCGCCAGATGGTTTGATAGGCGAAAAAGGTCTGCTAGAAATTAAATGTCCATGGTCTGCTAGAGAAATAGCCCCTGAAGAGGGCATTCTGAACAAAAAAATTACGTTTTGGATAAACGATGAAATAAATAAAAAGCATAAGTGGTATTACCAAATTCAAGGGCAGCTACACGTTGCACAAAGAGAGTACTGTGTGCTTGGTGTT